GATTATTTTGAGAGAAAATTGCACATCACCCCCTAAAAATATCTAATTTTTGTACTTTACCCCCTCAAAATTTTAAAAAGTGAATGTCCCCCTTCAAAATGTAATTCTTGTTGCACATTGTCTCGATAGCAAAATTTCGATGGTTCATTCATCAGAATTGAGTATTTGTGTTGCACGTTGCCCCTCTATATGTTATTTTTTGTTGCACGTTACCCCTTAAAAACATTATCTTTTTGCAAATTGCTCTTTAAAATGTTATTTTTGTTGCACAATTCCCAAAAAAATGGTTTATGGGGCAAAGTGCAACCAATACAATATTTTGAAGGGGGATTATCCAGTTTTTTGATTTTTAGGGGGGAAAGTGCGAAAATGAAAATTTTTAGGGGGTGAAGTACATTTTGTCATTCTTTTTAGGGTGAATAGCATTAAACCACCTAAACCTTTTACGTTTTTGCGGATCACCACCTGAACAATTTTTTTTCGCAAGAGTTTACCTGTACTCAATTAATTGTGCCACTTTGCCATTTTTTGCCTGTTTTCAGGTCAAAATAACCGGCTCTCAACCCATGTGTGTTGCACATGACAAATCCAAGGCTATTGACGTCTTTTCCGTTTTTAAAATGGAATAAATGTTAATTATTTCTATTTCTATTTGTCTTTATTGTCGTTTTTTCCATTTTTTATTGCTGCTACTTTATATTTCTTAATCATCATCATTCTCATCAGACCAACAACAAAGACGCCGTCGCTCGCCGGCAATTAGCCCAAATTTCACACAGCTCCTCTACATGAACCCATCAAGGCCAGCGGCGTAGGCGGCTGCAGATCATATCCAACCACCCCACCCTACACACCCCACTCAAAACTTTCATCAACCATTTCTCTCATGTACATGTTGCAGCCGTTCCGCCGCTCACCAACAGGAACCAACTCTCCCTCTTGCCCAACCACCAAGCTCATCACCACCACCACATCTTCTTCAGATCCGCCGCCCTCAACCCCAAGCGAGACTTTTCGACAATGGACACAATATATTCTTAATTTTGTATTTTGAACACATTTAATCACAGCTCATTTTGGTTGACTGAAATTGAACCTAAAATTAGGTAAATGAAATGTTCATTTAATTTCCCCCTTTCCCCAATTCAGGTTGTATGAACACTATTTTCTCTCGATTTCTTCCTCCGAATCGACTAAATCTTCTTCCAACAAATGGAGGATTAGATGATCTTCTCACAATTGAGGCTGCCCCATGCCGCGGCGGAGGTGTGCGGTGTTGGGCGGTGAGATAGGATGTGCGGCGGTGAGCGGTGGGTGGTGAAATTGGTGCGACGGGAGTGGTCATCCTTGGAATTGCAGAGGTGAGAAAGTACAATGGCTTCTCAAAATCCAGGGATGAACCGCTGGGAAAAAGATGAATTTTTTTTTTTTTTTTTTTTTTTTTTTATTTATTATTATTCTATTTAAGAAAATTCCACTTCAAAAAAGAAAAAGAAAAAGAAAAACATTTATTCCATTTTAAAAATGAAAAAGACGTCAATAGCCTTGGATTTGTCACGTGCAACGCACATGGGCTGAGAGCCGGTCATTTTGACCTGAACTCAGGCAAAAATGGCAAAGTGGCACAATTAATTGAGTACAGGTAAACTCTTGCAAAAAAAAATTGTTCAGGTGGTAATTCGCAAAAACGTAAAAAGTTTAGGTGGTTTAATGCTATTTACCCTTCTTTTTATATTGATATAAAAGGCAAATTGCACATCACCCCCTAAAAAAATCTATTTTTCGCACTTTACGCTCTCAAAATTTTAAAAAGTTAAACGTACCCCTTCAAATTTTTATTCTTGTTGCACATTGTCCCGATAGCAAAATTTTGATGTTATTCATCAGCTTTTGAGTATATTTGTTGCACGTTGCCCTTTAAAATATTATTATTTTTGCAAAAGGCCCACCAAAAAATGTTTTTTAAGCTATAGTTTTATAACTGATATTTTTCTTGGTTGTAAATATTATATTTATATCACAAAATTTATTGAAAAAAAATCATGATTTATCAAAAATATTCTGACAAATGAATTTTCCATCCATGAATTGTCTCATTCTTCCAAGTTAAGCAAATACCTTCACAGTTCTGAGCAACAACCGCGGCTGGGTAAAAATCTTTGTGTGGGAAAGGCTGCGTCAAAATTATTTATCACGCAAGAAGAATATTTTTCTAATCAAACTTCGGTCCGAACCGAATTTCATTTATCGAATGAAAATATGTGTTCAAATTTAATTCATTTAGCTTATAAATTGATGCCAGACGAATTTATAAGGAATAATTTGATTTTGACAATAATTTTTTTTCTTTTGATTTTTCAGCCAGAATTGAAAAGTGTGACCGGTCATCACTTATGTAGCAAGGACACGGAAACGATGTGTTGGACTAAATACTTATCACGCAAGTGCACGTATCGCAAACAAGTAGTAAAAGTGGACTCGTGAGTGTCGGATGTCGATCCCACAGGGAATACTCAAATTACCTAATCCTAAGTACAAAATTCTAACAATTATGATTTTTATCCAGCCTACGCAAGGTTGTCAAATTTAATCAACTAATTATGAAAGCAAAAAAATCACGAGAAAGTATCAATATAAAAACAATTATCTTCCCCCTATGCGATAAATCGTCACCCAATTAATCCACTATCATGCAAGTTACAATTCTTGGTTATTAACCCGAGACACTAAATTACTCGTATCCCGCTGTCGCGTGTGTTATGAGTCTATTATTCATAAACGGTTCACTATATGTCTATGTAAACCAATTATGAATAATGCATTAACTAACAAGTCTCGTAAAGGGCTACCTAAGGTGATATCTATATGTCCACAACACCACTTGCAATTGACACACTCATCCGGTGAAAACTACTCGAAGACATAGATTTAGAAAAGATAGATAAAAGAAGAATTATGATGAAGATTCGTCAAGTCTTTGTCTTCGATTCTCCGTTCTCTTGCTCTCCGATTGTGTAAAAAAAGATGCATAAATTGTGTGCTTGAATTGGTCTTATATAGGGTGGAAAACTTGGAAAAGAAGGCAATTTCGTTGTGCAATTAGGAGTCCTTTACTGCACTTCTACGTCTTCTCGGTGCCGTCTGGATTTGTAGTTCAAATTCCAAACGACCGTCTCAATTCCAGACTACCGTCTCAATTCCACAGACTTTATTCATCCCATGAAAATATTCGGACGACCGTCTGGATTTCTAGTGTATTTCTTAGACGACCATCCGGGCTTTAATTCTTCTGATTTTAGACTTCTTCACTTTCCGCGCCAATATTTTCTCCTAAATTGTGTTTTGACCCTGAATTTATCCAATTCTCCAATTTGTACCTAAAACACAATAAATTAATACTTTAAGCACCAATTATCAATAAAACATACCAAAAGCTCCAAATTAAAACGATATGATTAAGTGTAAAAATATACACTTAACACGATGATACTGGTAAATAAAGAAACTAACACAAGGAAACAAAAGGTCCAAAAAACGAGGATTCGAGAATTTGGAAGAAATATGTAAATATTAAAAAATGTAGGAGTATATTTATAAATGTACTATGTAAACATGTATCATATATAATTCTATTTTTTATATATTTTCATACAAATATATTCAAAATAAATATTATTCAAAAGTATTTGAAAATTCGTTATTCAAATATGTTTCTAACTTTTCAAAAATTACCAAAGAACACATAAGTTGTCCGGCAAGTGTGCTTCTAAAATATAAAACACAATACGTATTCGAAACGCGAATACAGGGAGAAGTTGAAGTTTCCGACTTTTGGTGCTACATACTACATAGGTCTTAATTAACTACCTAAAATTAGCGGTGCTGTAATTTTTGTCATGGCATCATCATTTCATTGGTCTTGACTCTGCGGCCCTTGGCCCTTCCGTTGACTTCACGCGTATTACGTATACATGACTTTTCAGTCTTCTGTAAATTACCGTAATACCCTGATAATTTGAAAAATATTCTTTAACAAAAAGAAATAAAAGAGTTTATTTTACTTTACCCCTATACTCTTGTTAAATCCCACTTTGGCTCAATATAGTATTATACTCTTAATTTTTCCACTTACTTTTTATTTTTTAATATTTAACATAAAAATAAAATTAATAATTTATCCCACTTACCTATCCATGCTCTCATCATGTGCTCTTGAACAAATCAAATTACCCATTAAGTCATTAACCAATATTTAGAATAAAAAAACCACATCAAAATATTATAAAAGCTATAGATTTTCACTTAATTGCTTAATATCCAACATTAAAGTGCACTTGAGATTTTAGTGTACTTAAGTTCTAGTGCCTAATTAATTCAAATAGTTCTTAAAAAGAAAAAATGTTCCCGCCATAATTACACACCCTCTTATCTTACTCCATTAAGTCGACAATTGTTTTTTGGTCAATTTTGGCTAATATTTAGGGTAAATTACGGTCACCCTTGAGATAATGTTAAATTACTAAAAAAAATTATATTTGGGTAATTGCAACTAACCCTCAACTATAATTCTTCTTACAAACACGTCAACCGTTATGGTGTCAAATTCAACATAATTTTTTAGATTCCGTAGAATACTCTAGTTTGTACTCATTTGGTACAAAAATGCAGTTTCTGATGCACCACAATATAATATTTACAAGCCAAAAGGCACATCTTGTGATCATCTTGTTTTACACTGTGGAGTTCGAAGAGGATAAAACGGATACAAACTGGAGAATATTCAACATAATCTAAAAGATTCCACTAAATCTGACACCGCACAAGTTGACGTGTAAGAAAACTCATAGTTGAGGGGTGGTTGACTGGTTGTAATAACCCAAATATGATGAATTTTTTTCGTAATTTGACCTTACATCAATGGAGTGTGGCCGTAATTTACCCTAAAATTTTAATATAAGATGCATCTTAATTTATTCCAAGAAGATACTCATATGAGGGTGCAATATCTGCTAATTGTTAACTTTTGAGGGTCCAATTGAGAAATAAACATAACTGAAAGGACCACCCTGCCAATTACGGTATTCATATTTGGTTCAAATACCACAAAACAAAGTTGACTTGACAAAATACAGACACAGTTTTTACTAACCACCATTTTTGTATGAACACATGATCTCTCTCTCTCCTCTCTCTCTCTCTCTCTCTCTCTCTCTCTCTCTCTCTCTCTCTCTCCTAGTTTTCCGTACAGATTCTTCCTCAGACGACCCATTCTCGTACTATGATTCATCTCTTCATCCTCCTCCTCTGTTTCTTCTTCAAAAACCCCTCTTCCTTTGCGGCGGACACCATTTCCGGCAACCAATCTCTCTCCGGCGACCAAACCATCGTCTCCTCAGGCGGAAACTTCGAGCTCGGATTCTTCTCACCAGGTAACTCCTCAAAACACTACATCGGAATCTGGTACAAAAAAGTCAGCGAACAAACCGTAGTCTGGGTCGCAAACAGAGAAACCCCAATTTCCGACAAAACCTCCGCCCGCCTCACGATTTCCGGCGGAAACCTAGTCCTGCTGAACGAGTCACAATCCCAGATTTGGTCAACCGGAGTAAACCCCCCGACCAATTCCACCGCCGCCGTGCTGCTCGACGACGGGAACCTGGTTCTGACAAACGGGTCGGGTCCAATTTCAAACCCATCAAATTCCTCCAAACCCTATCTATGGCAGAGTCTCGACAACCCAGGAAACACGTGGCTCCCCGGTGGGAAAATCTCTTACAACGAAAGAACACAAACGAAGCAGCTTCTTACATCATGGAAAAATCTGGACGATCCTGCCCCTGGCCTTTTCTCCCTCGAGCTCGATCCAATCGGGAGTCAGTACATCATAAGATGGAATCGAAGTAAGCAGTATTGGACAAGTGGTCCCTGGAACGGTCATATTTTCAGTAAAGTCCCCGAAATGACATTGAATTACATCTACAACTTCACCTACGTCAACACCTCCGACGAGAGCTACTTCACGTATTCGCTCTACGATCCGTCGGTCGTGTCGAGATTCATCATGGATGTTTCCGGGCAGATCAAGCAGTTGACGTGGGATAACGTTTATTCCGATTGGAATTTGTTCTGGTCTCAGCCGAGACAGCAGTGCGTGGTGTACGCTTATTGCGGGGCGTTCGGTACTTGCAACCAGAACTCGAAACCGTTCTGCGATTGCTTGCCGGGGTTCACGCGTAGATCGGAGAGCGATTGGGATTTGAACGATTATTCGGGTGGATGTGTGAGGGAGATGAATTTGCTGCAGTGTGGGAATAATGTTACTTCGTCAAACGGGAGAAGAGATAGATTCTTGGAACGACCGTATATGCGGTTGCCCGATAATTCGCGAGCGTCGACTGTTGCGAGTTTGGGAGAGTGTGAATCGTCTTGCTTGAGTAATTGCTCTTGTACCGCTTACGCGTACGATGGGAGTAGTTGTTCGATTTGGAACGACGAATTATTGAATTTGCAACAACTAAGTGAAGGAGATGGTAACGGAAGAACGATATACGTACGTCTTTCGGGCTCTTCCTCTGTTTTTGGTGGCGGCAAAAACAAGAATGGGGTTGTAATCGGTGCTGCTTTGGGTTCTATTGCGGTTATTGCAATCCTAGTGGCGGTTTTGATAATATGGAGAAAGTGGGGGCGAGAATCGGGTAGTGCTAAAGGGGTGGTGGAGGGTTCTTTGGTGGCGTTTGGATACAAGGATTTGCAAAACGCAACCAAGAATTTCTCAGATAGGTTGGGCGGAGGAGGGTTCGGTTCCGTCTTCAAAGGGGTTTTGCCCGATTCGACCGTAATTGCGGTGAAGAGGCTCGAGAGCGTAAGCCAAGGCGAGAAGCAATTCCGGACCGAAGTCAGCACAATCGGTACCATCCAACACGTAAACCTCGTACGCCTCCGAGGTTTTTGCTCCGAGGGTAGCGACAAGAAGTTGTTGGTGTACGATTACATGAAGAACGGCTCGTTGGACTCCCATCTCTTCCGCTCGAGCGCGTCCGAGGCGGTTGTTGTTTTGTCCTGGAAGACGAGGTACGAGGTTGCGGTGGGGATCGCGAGGGGTTTGACGTACCTCCACGAGAAGTGTAGGGCCCGCATCATCCATTGCGATATAAAGCCCGAGAACATCCTACTCGACGCCGATTTTTGCCCAAAGGTGGCCGATTTCGGATTGGCGAAGCTCGTGGGCCGCGATTTTAGTCGGGTGCTCACTACCATGAGAGGCACGAGAGGCTATCTCGCACCCGAGTGGATATCGGGCGTGGCTATCACGTCCAAGGCCGACGTTTACAGCTACGGGATGATGCTTTTCGAGTTGGTTTCGGGGCGGAGGAATGCTGACGTGGAGGATGGGAGGGTTAGGTTTTTCCCGTCGTGGGCGGTGAGTGTGGTGGTGGATGGCGGCGATGCGCTCGAGCTGTTGGATCCTTTGTTGGAGGGGGATGGTGACGTGGCGGAGGTGGTGAAGGTGTTGAAAGTTGCTTGTTGGTGTATACAAGAGGATGAGAGTGTTAGGCCTTCTATGGGGGTTGTGGTTCAAATACTCGAAGGGGTTATCGATGTCAATTTGCCTCCGATTCCGAGATCGCTACAAGTGTTTGTCGAAAATGACGAGAAGATTGTTTTCTTTACGGATTCGTCTTCGGCGGAGCAGAGTTCGCAGGCGAAGAGCAATTGTTCGAGTGCTTCGTCGCACTCGAAGACTGTTACTGCATCATCTTCGAGTATTAATTAGTTATGTAAGTCTTGAATACTAGTTTTTTTTTTTTTCTAAATCAAATTTAAATAAAAGAGAATATATATACAAGGGCTGAATCATGTATTATATGTGAAAAATTATGGTTATTCATGGGTTGTTTCTAAACAACACTCTGCATTTTTTTTTTCAATTTGAATTTTTCATCATATATTTTACTTAGGTGTGTAAATGGGGTGTAAATCGGATGGATTGGATCGGAAGTAGCCCTTTCGGAAAAAAATACGATTTTTTTCAAAAGTGAAAAACTAGTTCCAATTCCGTTCCAGAAAAATCGGGAATTGGAACAAAAAAACTTGTTCCAAACTCGGAAAATTTCGGATCGGAATCGGCGAAATTTAGAACTTTCTAAGTTTTGCTCACCTTAAATATAAAATGCTTAATACTAGTGCTATTTGAATTGTAATATTCGGAAAAAAAAATCGGAATTTGTAGAATTATTTTCGGAACTTTAGCCGGATTGATAATCGGAATCTCATATATATATATATATATATATATATATATATATATAT